TTGAGTGAGGATTTTGTTCTTTTATGGCTGATTGGTATTTCATTGTGAGAATATTCTCACAACAATTTATTTAGCTGTTCAAGTTCAGGTGAGGAAAAACAAATTTTCATAGGCTGAATAACACTCATGAATATTAAAATGATATTATGTGAAACAAGGACTGTTATAGAAACAGGAAAGAGTGGTTCAAAAAGCTTGTGCATCTTACATTGTCACCAGCAGTAGAAACAATCTTCATTTTAGGGCTTGATGATGCTGAATCTAGAATCCTCAAACATACTAATTACTTTTTTAACCACACTGTCATGGAAATAGGCACTTTAAAAGATCTGTACAGAACGAAGTGATTCCCAACGACAAGAGTCTCTCATCACAGCAGAAAGTGTTCAGCAGTGACATAGTTAAAGTTGGTTCTGCCACAAAGCCCAGGGTTCCCCTTGTGTTCATCAGGGACTGATATTTCAGCACTGGTTAATTTGCTGTAAAATTGGTCTTCATTGAAAATTCCATGCCACTGGAGTTCTGAGCCAGAGGAAAAATGTTCTGTGCCTCTCGCTGTGGGTGAGTCAGTAATATGAGGCTTAGAAAAGAAGACTATAAAGCCATGTGTCAAGGTTCTTGTTAGTGATCATTTAAAAGCAGTGTTAAAATGTTTGAGTTGTAATTAAAACCTTTTACTACAAAGGTTTAGAGAGATAGAAGGGACCCTTCATCGTCAGGTACCACCTGGGAATTGATGGATGGCTTTTCGGAAGAATTCTGCAAATGTGCTGTCATAAAATAAATAATAATGTTCAATTAAATATGCAATTAGGAGTCAGGCTAGTAAATCACCAGCAAAGTCTGCTTGCCTCATATGTTTTTACCTGAATCTCTAGGAAGACTGATTCTACGGCCTCTCAGGGAAATAAGCGGAAAAGTATAGGGAGTAGAAAATGACATGGAGAGTTGCTGAATTGTGACAGCTCAACTTGTTTTTCTTCTTATAAAACGTAAATTAAAAGAAAGATTATCTGAATTATAAATTCTAGGTGATCAAGATTAGCTGCAACTCTGTAAATCTTTGAATAATCATCTTTCCAAAAGCTTCTTGCATTTTTCATGGTAAGTACATGGGAAATTTAAAAGATAGAGAAATATTAAAATTAATATTTACTTTCTAATAACTTTATAAAATACTAGGAATTCTTCCTTCTACCATTTTATTTTATCAACAAATAGATGTGAAATATATGTTATAAGAATTAGTATAATTAACCAATTTTCCCCTTTTAGATGTGGGAAAACAAATCTGCATGGACTCTGTAAATATGCACATAATGTGAGAAGAAAATCCTTTGTGAACATGAAATTAATATTCTTATTATCCTTTTGTTACTATCATGGAAAAATATTAGCTCTTAATTTTGCTGTACTGAATTGTGTTGTGGTTTAGAAGAAAATAAACATCAGAGTTGGAAGATTCAACCTAGCTTCCTCCTTCTGCTCTATGATGGTACAGACCTCCAGGTGATACAAATCTACCAGCTTGGCAAAAGAAATAGTTCCCCCAGATGAGAAGCCCATAGAGTCTTCTTAACATTTTTGGAGAAATAATTTATACTTAAATCCAAGTATTTTCCAAGCACTTTTTTTCTTATCCTAAGTTTTAGGGCTGAAGCCAGAACCAGATGTTCCTGCATTTCCAAATATGTTCTGCTTATCACTATATTCCTACAGTCGACAGATATATTTAAAAAGTTAAAATCATGGAAATAAACAGCGCGCGCGCACACACACACACACGCACACACACACACACATCTCTCTTCTAGACAATCATCTGAAATCAATTTATACAAAAGTAATGAGCCCCACACATTTATGAGCAACTTATTCTCTTTTTTCCAAGGGTCCTTCTTCAGTTACTAAGTCAAGTAAAATCAGGAATCTGACTCTGTACCAAGAGTATTTGTTTTGACATTCATCACCTACCTATGGGTAAAGCCAGGAAACTTTAAATCATTAAACACAAATGTCTGATTTTTCCTTTGATACGGAAACAGTTCAAGGTGACTGTAATATGGAGGTTCCAATGATAAAGAGCATTCACATACTTCATTCAAAAGCCAGTTCCTCCCAGTCCATGTGGTCAAACCTTTCTTTGCCTTATTTCATATTTATGTCACCTGTCAGTAGCTAGCTAGAAATTCAGAAATCTGTATGAAGAAGGCATCAAACAGCTTGTTTCCCCTTGCAACACAAGCGTTTTGCAGCTGTACAGGTTACCTTATTAACAATTTGATATTTTCACAATAAACCTTCAGAAAAACTATAGTATACTCACCTATTATTATCTTATATGATTGATGGAGTATAATAATCTATGATAAAATCTTTCAAAGACTCTCAAAGAATCTGTGTTTGCGTCTGACCATACTTGCCACAATCATCCCAGAACTTTGCATGGAATCCTCTTTCCTCTCAATTTATAACTTGCACTACTTCCACATATTCTAGTTTCAACAGGATTTCAATAGTATTGCAGTGAGCTGATTACAGAGCAAAATTTACTTAAGCATAGCAAAGTTATCCTACTTTAATATCCTCGAGGGATGGTTGAAACATTCAATGCTGGGCTTCATCCAAGAAATACCGACTTATTAGCTTGAATGGGATCCAACAAATTTTCTTTGTTGTAAGTTCCCAAGTACAGTTACGTCACTTATCCCACGTCCACACATTCAGAGCCAATATTTAGCCCAGTGGGGAGTTGGCCTCCACCCTGCTATGTGAAACACAGTTAAGTGACTGTGTTAACTCTGGTACCTGTTTTCTTAATCCAAACATCCTTCCCCCCAGAATGAGTCCCTGATTTTTCAATTAAGTGTAGTGTTCACTTTTTTACCCCATCATTTTGTTCTTTGTATGTGTCAAATAATATAGACTGTGATGTTTCATTTATTATTGGGATCTTTTAATTATGCATCTAAAACAGTGAACGGGACAAGTTCATTGTTGAACAAAATTATATCCATCTACTTCCGAGGCGGTGAGGTAGATATATAAAGAGCAAAACCAGAAGGGGCTACAATGCAGGAAATTAAAAAAAAAAAAGGATTCCAGGAGTTTTAGCTCATTTGGTATAAAAATAAGTTTTGCTAATACCTAGTTTGTTCATTAACATATCATATTTGTCTTCAGCTACAAGTCACATTATTCAGAACACAAAATATGAAGTTAGCAAGTATTGTTTCCAGTTTTGGGTCCTCCTTTTACAATCCCAATGATGAAGTCATAGACTCGAATTCTAATCTATCAAGTTTCTTTTTTATTTTTCTTTAATTGATCAAGTTTCTTAATCTGGAAAAAGTGATCTTTCAGCAGCTTGAAATGTTTTAGAATAGCACATGTGAAAAATGCTTGATAAATCATTTTAAATGAAATAAAAATGTAATGAGTTGCACTTGTACCTTTTTGCTTCAAGAAAAAGTGTAGAATTTATTATAAAAACTTACTTTTCAAATAGAGGTGAATACCAAATTATATATCCTAAGATAAGAGGAAATAACTAAAAGAAATTCAGTGTTGTATAAGAAAAACACTGAGTTAAGGAGTATAAACAATAACCACCAAAAACTCTCCACCAAAATCTGAGTATCTCAATAAGATCTCTCAAATTTAAATGGTTTGGTGCTGTGGTTCTATAATGTTTGCATTTCTAAAAAGACTCCAGAAGTCTCCAGTTTTTATTTATGATTAGGAGGAAAGGGGAGACATATCCGACTGAGCTATCATTTGCTCTGTTCTCAAAATATGAAAGCAATAATAGATTAAATTCAGCTGAGACAGCAAGAGAGTAAAACAGTGACTGAAGCACAAGGGAGAGAAGGCACAGAAGGCAAAGACTCTATACCCATGGGGAAATTAGTTTGCAATTGGATTTGCATGTCCTTTTTCCTTGGCATATAAAGGGCATTTCATACTATTTGTATCCTTACTGCTACTATATTGAATAATTATAGATAAGCTTTAAAGGATATGTTCAATAACCTGTGAGTTAAGAATATTTTTTAACTAATGTGTCATACTCACATAGCTCCTTAGTGAATGAATTATATTTAGACAAAACCCTAAATTAGATTTGTCACAGCATGGCATTTTCAATTATATATATGAACACGTTTTATTTATGCTCTCACAAAGTGAGCTGACATGCTAAGGGAAATTGGTTGTGCTTTTATTTACTTTTGAAAAAAGGCATCTCTGGTCAATCCTCATATTCACTGAGTTGGAGAAGCTGTATTAAAGGTCAGTGTAAAAATATCAATGAGATGTACTGACTATATTAGAATCTGCAGTAGGAGAATGATCAAACTATGTTAAATGTCTGTGTGAATGTGTTAACATAAATACAGTAGTTTGAATAGCCAACATTAAATACAGAGTATGCAGAGTTAATTCTTTTAATGTGGGTAATGAGAAGTTGGAACGATATTGCCTTAGTCCCTTCCTACATGAATATATCAAATATTAATTTTAGGTTAAATTTCATCTTGTAGCTGTTGAGTCAGACTTGGCATGTGTATAAGATTGCTTTGAATCATTACAAGAATACATTTTTAAACAACTGTTACTCATGAATTAAGATAATACTTGTTTAGTATTTACCAAGCCTAGAAAAACATTTTGCTGGTACATTCCTCTGATCCCAGCACTGTGGGAGGTTGAGGCAAAAGGATCACAAATTCAAGCCCAATCTATGCAGTTTGGTAAATTGGTGAAACCTTGCAAAATTTTTCAGATAAAGCCAGGATAAAGTTGAGGGTTTAACTCCATGTGAAGGCCCTTCATTAAATCCCCGGTGCAACAAACAAACACAGATAAATGCTTTGAAGGTCATATTGAAACATTCGTAATTTTGTGCAATGATAGCTGACAACTGTTCTAATCCAGCAGCCCACACGACTGCAGGGTCTGTGATTGCACTTCTGCAGGGAACAGAGACTCTTGAGGCCATCATGTCACACTCAAACCGCACTGGCACCTCCTTCTTCCTCACGGGCCTCCCTGGTCTTGAGGCTGTGCACCTCTGGATCTCCATACCTCTGTGCGCCATGTATGTGGCCTCTCTAGCCGGGAACAGCCTGATCCTGTGGGTGGTGAGGGCAGAGCCCTCGCTGCACCAGCCCATGTACTATTTTCTGTCCATGCTGGCTGCCACTGACCTGGGACTGTCTGCCTCCACACTGCCCAGCATGCTCCCCCTCTACATGCTGGGGCTCAGGGAGGTGGCAGTGGACGTGTGCCTGGCCCAGCTCTTCTTCATCCATACATTTTCCATCATGGAGTCGTCCGTGCTGCTGACCATGGCCTTCGACCGTGTTGTGGCCATCAGCAACCCCTTGCGCTATGGCACCGTCCTCACGAGCTCCCGCATTGCCGGCCTGGGCTTGGCTATCGTGCTGCGCAGCGTTGGTCTGCACATCCCAGCCCCCATCATGCTGAAGAGACTGCCTTACTGCCGCCACCGCCTGCTGTCCCACTCCTACTGCCTGCACCCGGATGTCATGAAGCTGGCCTGTGCTGACACCCGGGTCAACAGCGCCTACGGGCTCTTTGTGGTGCTTTCCACGCTGGGTTTGGACTCGGTGCTCATTGTCCTCTCTTATGTGCTGATCCTCCAAACAGTGCTGTCCATCGCCTCCAAAGCTGGGAGCCTCAAAGCCCTCAACACCTGTGTCTCCCACATCTGTTCCGTGCTGCTCTTTTACACTCCTATGATTGGCCTTTCCATGATCCACCGATTTGGGCAGCGGGCCTCCCCCTGCAGCCAGGTTGTGCTCTCTTATCTCCACTTTCTTACTCCTCCAGTGCTCAATCCTGTTGTTTACTCCATCAAGACCAAGCAGATCCGACTGAGGATGGCACGTGTCTTCTGGTCGAGTGGATCTGCCACGAGAGACACCCAGGGTCATTAAAACTGTGGTGGAGAAAGAGAAGAAGAGATTATAGTCATGGTGTTGTTTTATGAGCACTGAACACATAGGAGTCTCGTAGTGACAAGAACGTCTCCCATATGAAGTCTTGTCATGGGAAAAAATGATCCATGTTGTACTTTACTTAGCTTGCATTAAATAAACTGAACTGAACACCAACCATGTTCACTATACTATTAAACTATCTCGAAATAGAAATATAAAGACATTGTCTCTGTCTTTAAGAAAGGTACACAAAATAAGTTACAGTTCTACAGACTTACAAATAATACCTTGTCCTAGAATGCAGAAAGAAATGTTGTTTGACAATGGAATTATGAAACAGTTTAGAATTCAAAGATATTAGAGGCATTTTGAGAATTACAATAGAGGTTTATTGAAAAATATAATGACCATGAGGCCAGCTCTTGTTCTCTCTTTTTCATGTTGCATTTTCTCTCCTGAATATGGCACCCCCCCCACATATTAGACATGTGGTGTAGTTACTGGATGAAAGAATAAATGGGTGATTGGGTTACTCATCTGGAGAAGGCTTTTGGCAATGGTAAAATATTTATGAGAACTTTTAATTTCAAATGACAAAATACCTAGGAATAAATTTAACTAAAGAGGTGAGGCACTTGTGTACAGAAAATTGTGAAACACATTGGAAGGCTATTTAACAGGGCTAAGAAAATGGGAAAACATTCTGTTCCCTTGAGTAAGAGGACTCAGTATTCTTAAGATGTCAGTATTACCCAAAGTAGTATACAGAACCAGGATAATTTTAACAAAATTCCAATAACATTTATAAAAAAATTCATAAATTAAAATCCAATCTTCAATTCATATAAAATTGTACAGAGTTCTAAATTGTGAGAATTTTTTATTAAAAGTGGAAAATTTATACTTCTTAATTTCCAACTGTATTGCAAACCTACAGTAATCAAAATGGTTTGGTAGTGTCACAGTAGAATTAGACATATAGTAAGCATTGGAGTAAAAACCAATGGGATAGAACTGTAGATTGAAGACCATCACCAAATCTGTGCAAACAAAATTTAAAGAATGATTAGTGGGACCAGGACAGGAGAAGAGAGGGTTTTACTCAAAAGTTATACACTTTAGGTTAGGCAAGAAGAATATGTCCTAACGATCCACTGTACAGCATGATGACTATAGTTAATTATATCATATATTTCAAAAGTACTAAACAAGTGGATTTTCTTTTTTTCTTTAATTAATTTTATTGGTACAATTTAAATATATATATTTAAAT